GATCATTCAATTGCGCCTGAGGAGGAAACGGATCCGGATCGTCTACGTGCATGAGAACGCATTCGAGCCGTTCGATCGCGGGCACGCAGATTGCCAGCGTGACCTCCTGCGTGGCATCAAGTCAGCGTGTCTTGTCAGGCGGGGTGCTCCAGTTTGTCGGAGCTGCTGACTGGTGGTTCTACGTATAACATTTTTTTTTAATTGCGTTTGCACTCCTAGTTTTTGATTTTTTTAAAAAAAATATTATCCGAACTCAAATTTTCATCATTTTTTTTAAAATTATTTTTAATTTTATTATCTATAAATTTTTTTAATTTTATATTAAATAAAAATTTATAAATTTAAAATTATATTTTTATATATTTTTTATATTATATTTATTTATTTATTTTTTAATTTTAAAATTAATCTCAAACTAAGTCTCAAGTCCGGATATTACATGTATATTTACACACAAGAGACAAAGTATGCATGTGTGAAAGAAATATAAGGTGCTGATATTGGCTGTGGTAGTCAGTCTTTTCTTATTGTTAGATATATATATACATAGGTAATTTTTTTTATAAAAAAAATTGAAGTGTGATATATGTACTTGAGAATAATGTGTGTGTATGTATATAGTGTTCGTCTGAGCTTGGGGAGACCAAGTGCGTGCGTGTATATATATAGTGTTATATATAAACTTTTACGGTTTTATGTTTTATGCATACAAGGTTTTATTCGTGAAATATAATAATAACGAATCATTATATAATCTAAAAATAAACATTCAAATACAAAGTAAACCTAAACTGTTTATTTATGTTTAATAGGACATTTTTTGTGTGTGTGTATAATATACTTTTTATGTTAATGTATAACAACATAACCTTAGTTAATTTAATTGTTTTAGAGTCATATAATTATGATAATTTAAATAAATATTAAGTTTTTAACTAAAAAATTACAGAATATAATTAAATTAATTACGAAATCAGTAATTATTTAATAAAAATATATATCATAATATAAAAGAAAATTATTTCTATATTAAAAAGATAAGAGTTTCCTTTTCGATTTTGTGAAATTTATAAAATTAGAAAAATAAAATATTTATCTTTATTTTAAAAAAGATAAGATTTTCCTTTCCCATTTTAGGAAATTTATAGAATTAGGAAAATAAAATATTTTTAAAAGAACTGAAAATTAATTAAATAAAATTGGGATAATTAATTCGAACCATCTAGAAATTTATTATTAAACTAATTTAACTGAAATATTCAAAGTCTCTGTGCTCCATAATTGACCTCCCAAAAAAAAAAAAAAAATTAAAACGAAGATTCAAAACTAGAAACAAGTTTTCATCTTCCTGTGTGAAAACTATTTAATAATTTTTATGTCAATGAAATTTAATTGTATAGAATAATAATAAGCGATATTAAAGGAATAATAAATGAAGATTTATGATTTTTTCATCCTCCATCTCTGTAATTACCCGTCTCTTTCCCTACTGGTTTTGGTTGTCATCCGCGAAAAAACAAAACAAATAGGAACGAAGCTATACGCCTCCCTCTCTATAAGTACCTTCTTCTTTTCCATTAAACATCTCTCTTTCTTCTTCTTCGCTTTTTGATTTCACTGTTCAACAACAATATTCCTATTCTGGCTACCCTTTCTGATTTTCCCTCTTTCTTTTCTGCGTTTCGCTTCATGGGTGCCAACCTTTCTGCTTTATTTACAGACCCCAATTTTTTATCCTCTTCTTATCCTTCCTCTTCGTCCTATTGTCTATCATCCTCCTCATCTTCTTCTTCCAGAACCGGTTTGGGGGACTTGCCGGAGAGCTGTGTCGCGTTGATTATTGGGAATTTGGATCCCCCGGATATTTGCAAATTGGCAAAACTTAATAGAGCTTTTCGTGGTGCTTCATGGGCTGATTTTGTCTGGAAAACGAAATTGCCTTCTAATTATCACATTCTTATTCAGAAACTCTTTGGGGATTTTCCTCGACAGCTTGATAAGAGGGAAATCTATACCATGTTATGCCGGGTTAATTCCATTGACGGCGGCACAAAGGTATTCGGCCTTCTCTGTTTCTTCCTTGGATATTTAAAAACTGTTGGGATATGGAGAATAATGAGGGGTTCTGGGGTTTTCCTTGTCGAAATTGACGAAGCTTGAAGCATGAAAATTTTATAATTTTTTCTTTTTCACAAAGCTAACCTTTTCGATTTGGACTCTATTATTATCTTTAGCCCAATTTGTTGTCTAATGTTTTCGTAATCTAGAAATTAGAATATAAGAATATTGATTTTTCGTTAGATCAAAATATGGGTGTTTGGACTTTGATCTTTAAGATTCCTTTTCTTAACACTTCCGTGTTATTTTTGGTTTGTTTATTAATGGGTTAGGTATATTTTTTTGTCTATGCAGCAAGTCTGGCTTGATAAGCGAACAGGTGGTGTCTGTTTATCAATTTCTTCAAAGGGCTTATTGATTACTGGAATTGATGATCGAAGGTATTGGAATCACATTCCAACAGAAGAATCCAGGTGAGATAGAAAAAAAATCCTTCTCTCTTTTACGTGTTGTGATTCAATTATTATTTACTTATCATATATTTTTTAGATTGGGTGGTCAAATCCAAACGTCCGGGGCTTTTTTGCCCAAATACTGCAGAGTAGGTCTTTTATTCTTTAATTCTTTTTAGTTGGACTTGGTGACTTTGTTTGAATCTAGATTGTGAAAATAGTGATGTTGCAAACTGCTGTTCTTATAATGTTTGATCCATTTGATATGTGCTTTTTGTGAATGCTTTTTCCTTGGGAAGTTCTACCTCCAGGGGAGATAACACTTCTTGACAAAGCTTTTGAATGCTTAGTATTTCTTGTAGGTAGATCTTCTTTCACTGTACAAGCTCACGTACTTGACCTAATAATCATTGTTTTTAATTGTAGACAGGCAATGATATGGTTGTTCAATGTTCATTTTTCTACATACTATCCTCATGAATGTTTCCTTTGACATTTTTGAAGGGTCAGTTACTGTAACTCAATTGTTATATAGTGTAGAGTTTTTTTTTTCTATGGTCCCTTACAATTTTAAAATTGAAAATTCTTGGTTGTTAGCATGATGTCTTCCCATGTGGTTTTCGCACTTGAAATCTTTAGTTCACTATCAAATACACTAGGACTTGGACAGTTTTATGCATGCTAAATGAATGAAGAAAAGAATGATTCCACTTGATGAATGCTTCTGGATTAGTTACTTTTGGATGCTTTGTGGTATGGTAAATGAATGAAGAAAGAATGATTCCACTTGATGAATGCTTCTGGATTAGTTACCATTGGACACTTTTTGGTATGGTAAATGAATGAAGAAAAGAATGATTCCTCTTGACTTGACAAATCCATGACGAATGCTTCTGGACAAAAAACCCGGATGCTCTTTTTTGCACTTCCGTTTTCAGAAATTCTGAATTCTTTTTTGTAGTTTAGCTTGTCTTTGTTTATGGATATGATGAGGTTGTGCAGTTAATTACTATAGCATCTTTATAGTCACTGCCATCTCCCAGCTGCTCTTTGTTATCATGTCATATTTGGATGGGGTCCTTAAGTTTCTTTTACACATAGCTTCTTTAGATGGGTGTGCAATAATCTGTCCAATGATTAGCTCGTAAGTGCTAATCTGCAGTGTATATGATAAGTGTATATGATATGGGATGTATGTTAAGTGCTGTATGTGCAAAATCAAAAGCTTATTCACTGGCATAGCGAAAGATGATAGTAGAAGTAATTGGAATCACTTTTGTTTTCCCTTTGGCTTGTAGGTTCTCTACCATTGCATTTCTCCAGCAGATTTGGTGGTTTGAAGTTGGTGGGGAGGTTGAGTTTCCATTTCCAGCAGGAACTTATAGTGTATTCTTCAGACTACAATTGGGGCGTGCGAGCAGGAGGTTTGGTCGCCGGGTTTGTAACACAGAGCAGGTACACGGTTGGGATATAAAGCCTGTGCGATTTCAACTATGGACGTCAGATGGTCAATATGCTGCTTCCCAGTGTATACTAAATGATCCTGGCAAGTGGATGGAGTACCATGTCGGGGATTTCGTGGTAGAAAATTCCAGTGGCTCAACGACAACGAAGATAAAGTTCTCGATGACCCAAATCGACTGTACACACACCAAGGGAGGTCTGTGTTTAGATTCTGTAGTAATATACCCAAGCAAACTTAAAAGAGTGGTTGTAAGTGATTTTTGATTGCACTTAGAACCATTTGTAGGTTGGAAGCCCTTGTATTATATAGAGAAGAGAGAATCAAATGCTAGTGGTTTTAGTTTTAGAGCATTTGTAGGGCAAGGCATTTTCTGTGTATAGTTTTTGATTTACTTTGTTTCTCACTCACTCTTCAGTTTGCTGTAGTCTGTATACCACGGCGGCTGTGCTTATTTTTGGGGAATCAATGCTGCTTGAAACATTCAACTTTCTTTTGTTTGTTATTTGCTTTTAAGTTGAGTTTGGAATAAAATTAGAAATTTTTTAAATTTATATGTGATTGTTAAATTTCATATATACACAATGTTAAGCTATATACCATTAATAATTTAAGTTTGAGTTTCGATACTTGGTAGTTAAGGTACAAAAATTTTGACTAAAGAGATTACTAATAGTATTAAAGTAAATAATATTTATAAGATTTTGAGTTAGTGCAGTTTTTAATATTATAAATATTTTAATTGTGATTTGTGATTATAATATTTAAATTTATGTTGTAAAAATGTAATTTTCAATTTGTATATAAAGTTTTAAATAATATATTACCAATAATTTAATCTTGAGCTTCTAAAAAATTATTAGTTTTAATATCCAAGTGTTGATGTTAAATCTAATAGAAGTTTTAGTGCAGAGTTAATAACTATAGTTATATATATATAGATATGTACATATTTAATTTTTTAAAATAAAAAAAAAAACTTAGAAAATTATTTGGATTAATTAATTGAAAATTTATATTCTTTTTTAAAAAACGAAAGTACAATTGAGTATATTTTCTAATCATTATCTTTTAAAGAAAATATATGAACATAAATTTTTTCTTTTGAAAGCTAAGAGAATTATTATTATTTTTATTTTAAATGAGAATATTTAAAATTTAAATATATATATATATATATATATATTTTTTTTGAAAAATATGTGAAAAAATAAAAAGAATAATATTAAAGAATTACTTGAAGAATACATCTTCATATAAAGAGATAAGAAATTAACTTAAATGGTGGCGTAATAATTAATATCTCTCCCCTCCTCCAAGAAAAGAAGCGTAGAACACTGGAGAAGGTGTCAGCCACTTACGCCGTACAACAATTACCCACATGATAATCTATCTTTTTCTTCACCAAACAATCCCTTATATATAGAGCCCCCAACATATACATATATATATATATATATTTATATACATCTCTCTCTCTCTTTCTCTCTCTCTCTCTCTCTCTCTCTCTCTCTCTCTCTCTCCATAAACAAACAGTGGAATTTCTTCTAAGCTCAACTGCAATTAAAACACCTGATTTTCAATGGCTAGACCTAATCAAGAATCAATCGATACTTTCATGAGCATCACCGGTCTATCTGAAGCGGTCGCCCTGCAAAAGCTTGAGGTTATCTCTTCTTTATTTATTTTATATCAAATTCGAGATGTGTTTTTGTTCTTCTATACCAACATTTTAATTCGATGCTTCTGGTCATGATGATCCAATGAATTTTAATAGTAGGTAGATTGCCGCTTTTTGCTTCGTAATTAGGGTTTTTATTGCCTTGCATTATTGTTATGGTTGCGTATTATATCTTAAATGGGATTATTATAATCCTCCGTAAGTGTTGTTTGTATCTGATTGAAGTTTTACCAAGTTACGCTTCTCGTTGATTTTTAGGGTTTTAAGTCAATTTAAGTTGTAATTGGAAGTTGTTGCAAAATTTTCTCTCTTTTTTGTTATTAATTGTGTAAATCCTGTCAAGTAGGAAAGCTATGGTTGTTTCCAGCCTCCGATCGTAGTTCAATGAACCAAAAACTGCATGTAGACGTATATAACAAACAAGTTCATCATCAACCTGGTTCTTTTCTTCATTTGCTGTCATTTCAAGGGGCCTGTCCCAAAGTGCTTCGGAAAATTTCTTGGCATGGTCATGAAGAACAATATTGTAGAAGAGAACAACAAAGTCATTTAATCAATAAAAATAGATTTTTAGATTGACAGGCTTAAGGCAATTGTTTAATACTTTGATTGTTTAATACTTTCAAGGGGCCTGTCCCAAAGTGCTTCGGAAAATTTCTTGGCATGGTCATGAAGAACAATATTGTAGAAGAGAACAACAAAGTCATTTAATCAATAAAAATAGATTTTTAGATTGACAGGCTTAAGGCAATTGTTTAATACTTTGATTGTAAAAGAGTTATGCTCCGGCGAGAGTTGGCTCGGCATATAACTATCTCCTAGAAAGGAACATGGTTCTATCTCCTATCTTTTCTGCTCCTGCCCATGAACCACCCTTTTATTCTGTAGTTACTTTTTGAAACTTTAGTGTGGTTCTTTAGATCTTTTTAGATTCTGACATAGCATAAATTAGAGTTTATTTGCTTACTTGGGGATTTGGATATGAAAACATAAACATCACATCTAGGGTTTCTTAAGCATCATATTGAAGAAGTTTTAAACAATAGTTTAAAAGTTTGATTAAATCATACAACCAGAATATTAAGAAAGCTCTCGAATTAGCTTATTGAATAACTAAACTCTATCTTAAAAGTAAAATTATAAAGATATTTAGAATGCTTTTTAAGTAGTCTTTCTAGAAAAAGAAGAACTACTAGTACTAATAAGATTAAGAAATAGTACTACGAATAAAAATAAAAATTCAAATATTTTGAAAAGAATAATATCTTAAAGCTACTAGAACTAAAATAATGATTGAAATTACAAAAGTTTTCTATTTAAAAGAATTATAATCTCTATTCTATACAGGCATTCTAGATTTAAACCATTCTGTGTGAGTTCAATTGTCATTTGATTTTCCTTTGTTTTTTTTTTAACTCAATTACGAACATATCCTTAACATGTAGAATGAGATTATAATTCTATTTTTCAGTCACTTATACTCCTAGCTTGATATTCATACTTCTTCAAGTGGAGTTAGAATTCTAGTATCAAAGAATTCAAATTAGTTGTGAAAGCTAGATTTGAAGACTATGCTATCAATGTAAAAATATCTAATGCATTAATGTTGATTCTAATGGATTTAGAATGGTTTTTAGTTTAATCTGATTCATTTAACAAACCTTCGAGAATATATTAATAATTCTTATGTAAGATCCAAAATTTCTATTATTTTGTCTTCCTATCAGGAGCATGGTGGTGATCTCAATGAAGCCGTGAATGCGCATTTCAATGAAGGAGATAGAAATGTGTAAGTGCATCTCACAATTTTTTTAGCCATATTATCTTATCACCTTGTTTTGACAATTCATTTGATTCATGAAGTAGAATTTTACTGTCCTTTTTTCTCTCCTCATTTTCCCTACTTTATTTTGATGTATTGTTTTGTTCACATGTGTACAGTGCACGTGAAGCACCTGTTACTGCTTCTCAAGATGATTTAATGGATATAGATGATCCTGTCCAAACTGCAGAAAGAGGACCTCCTCTTTCATTTCTATCTGCAGCTAGAACTATGAATCAATTCTCACTTCTGGATCCATCCTTAGGTAGAAGCTTGTTTGATGGTGGTTCTGATCTTTCAACTCGTGCTCCGGTTATTACACATCCTAGAGAGGTGAGGGAGATTCCCATAGAGTTTAAGGATAGCACTGGGGCATCTGATATTTCTGGTCATGCCCCTACTATTGAGGATGTGACTGAAGCTGAACATGTGCATGGCCCTAGTATCCGTGGGACTGTCATAATTGATGATGAAGGGGATGAGGATGTCCCAGCTAACCAGATCGCACAGGATAGTTGGCGGACTGAACAAAGACCAACTGTTTTGCACAATAGACCTCCGAATTCAAGCCTTGTACCCAGTGCTCCCTCATTTGATACTTTGCCCGATTATAACAATGAAATAGAAGAACAGATGGTCCGAGCTGCCATTGAGGCTTCAAAATGGGATGTTGAGGTAACTTTTTAAAAGCCAGCAAAATGGCTGCGTCTTCTTGTTTTTTTCAGCTGGGGGAAAGTGAGCTGGATCATTTTGATGGGATTTTTTATTGTGATCTGTACTTATGTATCGATTGGTGTTGATTTATCCTCATCCTGATGCAGGGCTTGAGAGACCCTGCACCTAGGCAGAGACATTCTCAGTTAGAGGATGCTGAACTTTTACATGCCGTTTCGTTGTCCTTGAAGGTCTGTTCTTCTTCTATCTTTTTCCTGGTTGGAGTGTCCTTAAATCCTAGTTAACATTGTGGCTTCAGACTGCAGAGCAGGAAAAAGCGTTGCGTGAGCATGAGCAGAAATTTGGAGCATCAGAAGTAGGACCTTCTGAGCCAGCAAAAGTGGAGCTAGGGAAGATAGAAGCATCGAATGGAAGGTACTTTGTCCTTTTCATGCTTAAGAGTGATCCGCTTTGTTGATGAGCGACAATTTTCTTCTAGATAAAAGTTTTTGATATGTTTTCCATATTATTTTTACCTATTACTGGTGCTTTCTTGGATCCATGTAGGCTGGAGGCAATAAACTCATCTTTCCAGGATGAAACTGAAGATGTAGAGGAGCTACCTCTTATCAGGCACAGGGGCAGACGTACGTCTGCTGGGTCTGCTGAACCTAGAGATGATGAGGAAATTGGAGTTGTTGATGCTGGCCCACCAGCGAGTCCTGGAAGGCATAACATCACCAGCCATCCGCAAAACAATGGCAATGCATTTGCTTCTGAAGAGGTATTTTTTATATCAACGCTAAAGAATTTCTATAAGCACTTCTTGATTATATTTCTTAATATTTAATATAGAAAAAATCTTTCTGCCTATGCTCTTAGTGGGGAGGTATCTCGTCAGAGGAACATGATGAAGCAGTCATGCTTGAGGCTGCAATGTTTGGTGGAATTCCAGAAAGTGGATATTCTTTTGCATACACCCCTCATCAATTCCTGCGAGCTGAAGGTCCTTATCCTCGGCAAATTCCTCGTCCCCCTTCGCCATCATTGGCGGCTCAGCGGTTGATACGAGAACAGCAGGTTTAACACTTGGTCTCCTACAGAAGAGTAGGAGTTTGGTGTTTAGTTCCCCAATAACTGTCTGACATTATGAAAACTCTCCTGGTGCATGCAGGATGATGAGTATCTTGCATCACTGCAAGCTGACAGAGAAAAAGAGATGAAAGTTATGGAGGAAGCTGAAGCTCGTCGTTTGGAAGAGCAAGCAGCTAGAGAGGCTGCTCTTGAAGAAGAAAGACAAAAAAGGGAAGAATCTCAAAGGAAAATGGAGGAGGAGCAGGTATCTAATAGTTTAAAGTTATTGGGTCAAATATGGATATTCGAGTAATTTGGAGTTATTTAATTAAATATGAATATTGGAATAATCTAAGAGTTACTTTAGGCAATATGAATATCGGATTACTTCTAGGAGACGTATTTCTATCTGGCAAACAAGCTCTGTGTTACCATTTTACTATAGCTAATAATGAGAACAACGTTGGAAAAAGGGCTAGAAAAGGCAGTACATGCTGTGCCATCAAGTTTTGTTTCCATATGAGAAGCAAGTATGTCTCTAAGTGAAAATTCCCCATCGTCGTCATTGCATTTTTTCATCTATATATCTGTTACTTAATTAGGATTAGCTTCTTATTTCCAAAAAAAAAGTGAGTAACTTAATAGGATTAGTATTAGCATTAGTTACTGGTTATTTATTAAGTACAAGTTGGAAGGACCACTGAGAATTATAAATCAAAGCCTGTTTCTCCCTCAGATGTTTGACTATCTATTATGCTTATTATCTAATTGTTAAAGAAATTGAGCATTGTTGGTAGTTTATGCCTTAAGTAAATTAGGCTTTCACAATCCAGATATTGTTTTCTCTATTTCTTTTTGTTTGACCTGTGTGCATATTCTTCTGTGGATGATAGGGACATCGTTACAGCAATTAGTCGTATCATTTATTGGATGCTCTTGACATTGTTAAAGTGAATTTTAGGCCTTGTTTAGTATATAAAAATATATTATAGTTTTTATTTTCTAAATTAACATGTGTTTGTGCATAGGATATTTAAAGATTTACATATTTGTAGAACATTCAAGGCACAAACAGAATAGTTTTCTTGAAACACTAAGAACAACATAAAAAATCTTTAATCTCATCATATTTTCACTATTACTTTTTTTATTGTTAACTAAGTCGTGTTATCTATGTGCCGAACATGGTCGTAGTTGTACGCATCCTTAGAACCTGAGTTGTTTGTGGTTGCCTTTTCTGTTTACTTTCAGGAACTTGAGAGGCAATTAGCAGCAAAAGAATCTTCCTTGCCTCGGGAACCAGCATCAGATGAGGAAAATGCTGTAACCCTTCTGGTGCGGATGCCGGATGGTAGCCGTCGTGGTCGCCGATTTCTAAAGTCTGATAAACTACAGGTAAGTTACTGATGTTTCAATACTCGGTAACTGTCACTTTTTACAGGTCCTCAAAGGCTTTACACAGCTTTGGTTTTTGTTTTGCAGTCACTTTTTGACTTCATAGACATTGGTAGAGGAGTGAAGCCTGGCACATACAGAGTGGTAACTGTTTGGCCCTAGGACTTCTAGTGGAGCCTGGATCTTCTTAAATGATTATTGTTCATGTGTAAGTTAAAAATATGCAGCAAACAGAAATGAATGTTCTAACATATATTTGGTTGAACAGGTGAGGCCATACCCTAGGCAGGCTTTCAGTGATGGGGAAAGTGCTTTGACACTGAGCGAGCTTGGATTGACAAGCAAACAAGAAGCCTTATTCCTGGAGTTGATCTAGCCAATCAAACTCTTACCAGTTTTAGAAGGATACTCATATGGAAACTTCATTAGATTATTAATCACATATATAATATAAATTTCATATTTATGTCGTGAAATTTTTGGTTTGGGGCTTGTCTTATTGGGTGTGATTCTTAAAATTTGAGGAGATGAATGCGATTAGTATGTTTTTAGGGGCAGAACATCAATATTAAGTGTTTGTTAATTTAGTATGTGTTTTATACACATATTTATGAAGTGAGTGTACTTTTAAAGGAGGGGTTAAAAGTAATATGACTGAGGAGCAATGTTGCGTCCAAATTTCGGCCTCTTGAGAAAAATAATTGAAACGGATCAAATGAAACTCACAAAAAAAAAAAAAAAAAAAAAAAAGAAGGTAAATTTCAGTTTATCTCAGTTTATGTAAGAATATTATTGACTCTATCTAGATTCATTAAAAAAAAATACATTTATATCTTTTGAATAATATCATATATCTAGTTAATAAATGATTTTATTTAAATTATAAAACTTTATTTTAACTGAATTTAAATAAATTGGATAATAATGTACAAAATTCAGATGTGATTTTTTGTTTCGTTAAAAAATTATTAATGTTGGGTAAAAAAAAAGTAACAGAGTTTTAGTGGTAATTGCCAGGATTAACGAATTTAACCGTTGTAATTTGGATTTTACACAAAAAAGTAATATTATCATCATTTACATCCTTTTTTTTCCTTGGAAACTGCCATGCAATTCTTATGTGTTTATTAAACTGTTCTTCAATTATTATTTATAATCTTTTTACATGTAATTTCATTTTATTTAAAAAATTTATGATACCATAAAATTTTTTTAGAATTGAAAAAATATTTTTTTTTTCCCTTCAAAATTTATTTATTTTTAACTGAACTCAAATATTATTAATATCATTTTTTTTTTTTTTTTTTTACCTCCAAGTAAGTAGGACCACTGTTTTTACTGTGGCCAAAATTACCGGAGACCTCTTTTTACCGTAGTCAGTTGCAGAGAACGACGGTCAAAGTTGAAATCACTTTACAGACTTGGAAACACCTAACCACTCAAATGGCGGCTGTTTATCCGCCACGTGGACTGCTTTAGTCTAATCACATTAGAAGTTAAGGAAGTTAATTACAACTAAATCTCAGTCATTCAACCTTCTACCATAGCACGGAAAATATATTTTTTAAACAAATTATATGATGATGTAACCCTAACGGTCAAGTGAACGGATACCAGTAGACAGCCACGTGCCACCCTAATGGCAAACACGAATATAGAGAATAACTGAAATTACATATTTAACCCTCCACCTCCCCTCCGTTCCGTACACCAACTCCCTTCCCAACGGTCATATTTCACCGACACCCACCAACGGTCACTTTACCCTTCCCCTGTCACCGTCTGATCTTAATCATACGGCTTTCCCTTACCTTTCTCGAATACCCTTTTTATTTACTATTTTTTTTTCCCTTCCCCGAAAGTGCTGACTGGGTAAATCAGATCAGTCACGTAACCCAGAAAAAGAGACATAAACATGGAAGTGGTACTAGTCGAGTAATAGTATAGATCGAGATAAGGAAAAAGGGGGGAAAAAGAAAAACAGTCTCCTCTTGTTTCTGTATAAAAGCATGAGTGTTCATTCGGGTATGGTTTCTTTGGGTAGTGAATGTTGATAGAGGGAGTATGTATGTATTCATATATATGTATTTACGAGTAGTTGTGGATTTGCTAATGAGTTTTGTTGTTTTCATGCATGCTTGAGGAGTTTTTTCGTGAGCTGGGATTCTTGAGTTACGCTTTTGGATTCCATGGAGTTGTTGCAAAGCTCCAATGCTGATCTGGGTTTGAAGCTTTCTTCTTCTCTTAGTTTCATCCACCAATATGGACAAGTATGTATTTACGTTCCCAGTCATGATTTGACCTCCATTGTTAAGCTGGATCACAGCTTTTCCCAATGAGTAGTTCTCTGTGAATGTTTTGGAATCCGATGATTGTTTTCTGGTAGGTCTTTTAGTATTAATCAATTCTTTGATTCTTTTAGGTGGGGAGATTTTTTTTTTCTTTATTTATTGCATTGTACACATATATATTCTTCATATAGGAACACTTTGAGTTTACAAAGAAAAACAAAACCCATTTGATTTACTCACTTTTTTCTTTGATTCTTTGTTGTATTCATCGGATTCCTTTTGGCTTTCAATTGGTTTTGGTTTCTTGGAAAAAATTTCACACACTCACATAGTCTGTCTCTCTAGATTTCTCTTTTCAAACATACATAAACAAAACTTTGTTTGAACATACACAACTCATATAGGAAGATCATACATTAGTTTGCATTTTCAATACTAAAACAAAAGAGAGATAGGGAGTGAAATAGAAGAGAATCAGGGTGGGTGAATAGAAAAGAAAAACAAGAGAGAAGATAGAGAAGGGTTACAGAGGATGTTGGCTGGGTGTTCTAGTTCTACATTGCTGTCACCTAGGCATAGATTGAGGAACGAAGCATCTGCACAGTATCAAGCTTGTCACTTCCAGTTACCTTCCATGAGCACCCAAAGACTGGACTTGCCATGCACTTTTCCTCGCAAAGAAACTTCACGTTCGCAGCCCATCAGACCTGTAGGTCTCTCTGTTGAGAAACCAATTGAATCCAAGATCACCAGTAGCCGTTCTCTCAAGCACAATCTCCGTCTCCCTCCATTGTCAACCACAGCGACCACAGCTTTCGGCGAAGGAAGAAGAGAGATCAAAGATGAGTTTTGGGAGGGAAAGGGTAAGAATCTGAAGAGATTTGCAGAGCAGGGTTTGGTAGATGATGTTTGCCTCAGCAGAGCAAAGAGGAAAAAGGGTGGTAGTGATGGTTTGGGTTTAGGTCAGTTGGGTGGGAATTTCTGGTTTCAACCAAACTCTCAAGTTCTTCCTTTCTCTCTTACATATTCAGGAGATGAAGAAAGGGCTTGTTTTGTGCCTGGTGAAGTGATATCTCCACCTCTGCCATTATCAAACAATCCCTGGTTGGAATCAGTCATAACTGAGATCACAGACCTAGGCGAGAAAGATAACACTAGTCGCTGTCCTGTAAAAGAAGCTTCAGGTTCAAGTGCTTCTTCTGACAGCCATAGCTTGGGGCTTAAGCTAAACGAGAGTAACACAGAGCATGAAGAAGTAGGTAATGGGTCTGGCAACCCTTACCCATATGAAGGAGCTAGCGTGGAGGCAGGCAAGGAGCTTAACAACAGAGGAGAGCATCAGGGGTTTGAGCTTCTTGCCTTGCTTACAGGTTGTGTTGAAGCAATTGGCTCCAAGAATATCCCTGCTATTAACCACTTCATAGCTAAACTAGGGGATCTGGCTTCTCCTAGAGCAGGAAACCCTGTAAGCCGATTAACAGCTTATTACACAGAAGCTCTGGCTCTCAGAGTCACCAGGCTTTGGCCTCAAATTTTTCATGTCACCACTCCCCGGGAGTTCGATCGGGTTGACGATGACTTGGGCGGCACTGCACTGAGGCTCTTGAACCAGGTCAGCCCAATTCCAAAGTTCATTCATTTCACTGCAAATGAGATGTTGTTAAGAGCTTTTGAAGGGAAAGATAGGGTTCACATCATCGATTTTGACATCAAGCAAGGTCTGCAATGGCCAAGTTTCTTCCAGAGTTTAGCTTGTAGGAGAAACCCTCCTACCCATGTGAGGATCACTGGCATTGGTGAGTCCAAACAGGAGCTAAATGAGACGGGAGACAGACTCGCCGTCTTCGCAGAGTCCTTGAACTTGCCATTTGAGTTCCACCCAGTTGTGGACAGATTAGAAGACGTGAGACTATGGATGCTTCATGTGAAGGAGAAAGAGAATGTGGGTGTGAACTGTATTTTCCAGCTTCACAAGATTCTGTACGATGGGAATAGAGCTGCGTTCAGAGACTTTCTGGGTCTGATTCGTAGCACCAACCCAACAGCAATTGTAATGGCGGAGCAAGAAGCGGAACATAATACCCTCAGCTTGGAATCAAGAGTCTGCAATTCGCTCAAGTACTACGCTGCCATATTTGACTCCATTAATTGCACCAACCTTCCAGTAGACAGCCCTGTAAGGATGAAGATAGAGGAGATGTTTGGAAGGGAGATCAGAAGCATTGTTGCTTGTGAAGGAAGTGAGAGAGTTGAGAGACACGAGAGGTTTGAGAAATGGAAGACGATGATGGAACAGGGAGGGTTCAGATGCATGGGGGTAAGTGAAAGAGAAAAGGTTCAGAGCCAGATGCTGTTGAAGATGTACTCATGTGATAACTTCCATGTGAGGCAGCAAGGAGAAGAAAATGATGGAGCGGCGTTGACTTTGACCTGGGAAGATCAGCCTCTTTACACAGTCTCTTCATGGGCGGCCATGGATATTGGTGGGAGTTCATCGTCTTTCTCGCAGCCAGGGGGTTCTTGTTTTTCTTAGATTAAAAGTTTTTACAGACATAGAAATTATTCTTTGTAGGTGGAGACATCTTGGTTACTATTCTTTCATTCTTTCTTTTCTTTTTGCAGATAAAAAGAACAAGTAGCTTCTTCTTCTTCTTCTTCTTCTTCTTCTTCTTCATAGCTCGGACTTCAGATGTCTTTGTAGCATGTGTTTATCATTCTTTCATTCTTTTCCATTGTATTATGATGATGATGATGATGATGATGATGAGATTCTTTCCAGTTGTGAACTATGCATTTTGATTAAATATGATTTCATTTAATTCTTTGTTGGGTATTTGTGACAAAATATCAGCTTTGATAATATTTTAATACAAAGTTATTGTATTTTTAATTAATTAACAAAAAAGATACATTCAAACTCATACCTTGGATCACCAGACGTGTACCAAATAAATATAAATTACATTATTACTTTGAAATTGAAGCTACTTGTGTGATTGATAATATAGTTTTGTATTAAATGTGTAAACTAAAATCACTATAAAAAATTACCATATAAAAATCAAATTACAATTAATAATTCTTTAACTATATAGTTGGTATATTTATTTATTTATTTATTTTTAAAAATTATGAATTCGAGTTAGATTATATTTTAATTTGTGTTTTTATTTATTTTTTTTAATTTTATTATAATAATATAATTAATGTATGCATGAATTTTTTTATAAAAGAATTAAAATTATAAATGTAGTTAATTAAATTTGTAAACTATTTTTACTTTTTACGAAATGTATATGAACTTCAACTAAAAAAAATTTTATTAAAATTTAAAAAATTAAATAAAAATAAAATTAGTATGAAGTAACAAAGTAAAAAATATATATAAATATTTTTGTAATCTTTATATAAAAAAATATAAAAGGCAATAAAAAAATAAATTTTTTTAAATAAGACTTTGAATATAATAAGCACACACATTTATTATTTAAAATAAAATAAAAAAATAGTAAAATTTATTTGTAGGTTCACTTTTAAACAATTTTTAGTATAAATATAAAAACATAACATAATTTATTCTAAATCTACCTAGTTGAACTTAAAAATATAGAAAATACCCAAAATAATAAATCTTACAAAGGATTATGTTGTATTATGATGAAAAAAAATTAACTTATATAGAATTAAAACAATGCATTTTAAATTCTAAAAAATTTACCAAAACCTTAAATTCATTATTATTATTATTATTATTTATAAGATTCCATATGAATATATTTTCACAATCTTCTTTATTAAATTAGATGTACATTCCGTATTTATTTTTAAAAATCTTAGTTTAATGAGGAGGATATGTATATTTTATTCGCATAAAAAGATAATTGATAAAAAATTAAATTAAATATGAAATTAAAATAATTTTACCAATTTTAATGTACTGTTTCATTAAAAGTTTGTTAAAATAAGTTTTTATTAATTCCAGTTAAAAAAAAAAAAATTACCGTCTTTTAATTTGTAATAGGAGAACTCTGACCCTTGACTAATAATTGAGCTTTACGCAGATGTGCTTCGTCTCTTATTGCGATTAAAACGACATCGTTTACCTAATAACAACGCATTGTCTTCCTCCGAGTGCAGTCTTCGCTCGGCGTACTGATTTTGCACTGCAGAGAAGGAGAGAGAATGGAGGAGGGAGAAGACAAAAGCAAGAAAAAGCAATGCAGATTCTGGAGTTGGGTGATCATACCAGTGATTTTCAGACTGATTTTGATTTATTTCCCCAAAAATCTCAACTTAGCTTCTCGCCCCGAAGTCTCCACTCCTCTTACCAGTCTTCGTCGCTGTACTCTCTCTCTCTCTCTATCTCTATCTCTCCAAACACACTAAATACACATCATTAATTGTGTATATGTAGAGCTCAATTGCTTCTGTCACGTTTAGCTTTTGATATAAGTTGGTTGTCAATCTAATTTCTGTGTGTAGTGGCCGAAGGTTACTGGTTGAAGCAGTCATCGATATCTCCATATGCAGGTTAATGGTTATGTTTTGATTTGTTTTCACTCTTTGCTTATTTTTCTTAGTTTTGGTCTGGAAGAAAGTTGGTATGAGGATATCCGACCGCTAAATATAGAGAAACAAAAAAGAAATATTGAAGCTTTTGATCTAAGAAATAGTAGGTTTCTGTTTGTTTCACAGGATCAATGTATCATGGTTCACCTTTGTTGCTGTCAGTTCTTGGGCCGCTTACTGTTAAAAGGTTCTTGATGAGCTCTAATTCGCCTTTTTTTATTTTTATTTATTTTTGCTTTTTAAGAACTTATTATCAGGTCGTTGTACAGTAATTATAAATGATTTATGCTAGACCGAATTAGCTGTCACAAACTTGATAGTATCTTGGAGATGGTAATTCTTGTTCCATCTGAAATATAAGGAATCCTTTGCATAAATCCTACTTGAGCTCGGTGTTTGTGTTACTATCAAATGTGGGTTTAATCTGTTTCTTAATTTGTTCTGAAATGTTTGAATGGTGTGTCAACTTATTGGGCATTTCAATGGGTGTTGCAGAATTGAAGGACAACCTAGTCATCTTTTATGCAGGTAATTCTCCTGTGTTAGTAAAATTTTTCATTCGTCAACTGTGCCTTTAATTCGAGGTAACATCATTTCTTAGTTTGGATATGTGTTACAGTGTGTATAAGAAAATACAAGTGCATTGATTCATGTTTGTGCAGTAAAACCATGTTGAACATTTTTTGGTTGAAAACTGTTTGATCTATTTAATTACATGACATGCGCAAATGGCCATACACGGGGATCCTACTTTACCCTAATAAAGGACATGGTATATATCTAGTTTCATTTCTGAGTGGACTTAAGACTTAAGGATATAGTATTCTCTGGTCAACTTAATGTAGTAAAAGTTCTTCAGTTTTTCTTTTGTTCTTTTTTTTTGTTGTCCTGAAATTTTTTGTTTGTTGAATCACATAGTTAGGACTAACACCTTTTGGGATACAGTTTAGTTTTTGTGATTGCAGATATTTTCAGTGCAATGCTTCTTCGCGCTATTGGACTGAATCTTCAGAAAGCCCATAGTCAGGGTTTAAAATTACTGGGCCTTCTTAAGCCATCAAATACTTCTGGTAATTAGTAGGCTGTCTTTTACTTCTTGTTTGAATAAGATGTTTCTAGGATTCTATAATTTTAATCCTGAAGCTACAACATTTATGAGGAAGAGCCAACATAATGAAAGCAATAGTTAAGAAAGCATTGCATGGGAGAAATGGTTTGAACTACTATCATAGTCAACCATGGTATACAAGGTTGTCAGCTCATTTGAAATAATGGACTAGTTATTCATGTTCTTTTCCAGTTTTTGTTTCCTCATGATATCTTTATCCATAACATGCTTGTTATCGGGGTACTCTTGTTATAAGCTCAAGTATATCATGTTAGTTGTGAACACTAGGCCATTAGATTGTGATTTTTGAAAATTGATTCTCTAAATATTCACATCTTAGCAGTAAAAAAAAATCTAGTACTTATAACAAATATTGTGAGTTTGAACTTACTATAACATTCTCCTTGTTATTAATATTGTCAACTGCTCATTACGGTAAAAATGAAGGAAGAATAGTTAATCCGTTACTGCAGCTTACAAAATCCCGAGGATATCTCTTATAAAGCTTCTTCTTTTATCTAAAAAATATTGTTGTTAATAATGACATTTACTATTCTTCCTTTCATTCTCTTCTGTTACGAAGACCATCAAATCCCTTAAAAGAGTAGAGGAAAGAAAGCCAAAACATTGAATCTTGATAGGTTGAAACTGGATTGTTGGAATATCTGTTGTGCATTTCATTTGTTAATATGACGAGAAATTCCTTTGTTCTTGTTTTCCTAGAAAATTTATTTATGCCTTCAGTCAAATGCAAATTGTATTTTGCCTTTTGCTTACTTTCACTTCACCGATGTTTATGATGAACCTTTTTGTTCTTCAGAGATCCTGCCCCCCGGAGATATTGCTGCACTTGTTTACTTGTGGAATCCTTTCACAGTAGTTTCTTGTGTGGGCATGTCAACTTCCCCAGTTGAAAATCTAGTGGTCATTTTGTCTGTTTATGGAGCATGCACAAGTAAGAAGCTAGAAATGTTTGCCTACTACCTTGTTAACTAGAGTTTATTTTATGATTGTTAATTCATAATTTGTTAAGAGTAGTTAGAACTAAGAAGAAGCCTTCAGCTATGTTTCTCAGAATGAGGTGTACATGTCAGGTTCGGACATAAGAGTCTGAATTGATAATATTTTTGTACAGTTTAACAATACGAGGATTTGGTCAATGAGAGTCCACAGATTGAATACTAGTAGTGGTTTTCTTTAATAGGAAAAAACAATAGAACTAATATAACCTTTCGGAAGAGGAAGCTATCACAATGTTATAAACATTACAAAATGTAGTTCTTAGCACAAAAAGATAGCAGATTAATAGGGATGATATCAAAAATCACCTGTACAGTTTTATATTTTATATCAGATTGCACCATGGAATTTGATATAGATTGTTGGATGCAAATTGATATTTATGTTACCAAGTATCAGATTGCATCTTCTGTTTATATTTTCTGTTAATTCCAATAGCATGTCACATATGTTGTCCTCGGACATGTCAACAGTGTGTACAAATAGGGCATTTTTATCCCAAACTTTTTTTACTTTTTAAAAAATTATGCTCTAAGCCCCAAATTTCTTTTTCTCTTCTACATTAGTCCTGATCATCAGCCTTCCGCTCTTCATTTATATTTATTTTGAACAAATTTTCTTTTTTTTATTCTTCTCATTCATCTTTGCTTGGAGCTTGATGAAAATGCCATGATTTGCAAGTGTAAGGATCCCAGTGAAGCACTTTCGAGTAAATTGAGAATTTATAGATCTTATTTTGTCTGTTTGTGTACCGTTCAACAAAGAGATTCACAACACAAAGCGAAAGACCTGTTACATGTATTATTTAGGAAGTTCTAGGTGACTATGGAAGGCAGCGAAACAAGAGGAAGAGCTGGTGGACAAGCTTTGGCAGTGTGATGCTGCTTTTCTTTGGAATTTGTTAATGCTAATTCAGGCTTTTTTGTGTCGTAGAAAGGAGCAATTTGGAGTTTAAGGAGCTGCATGCAGAAGTTGATTAAGTTTTGGGAGGTGGTGAAGAAAAAGAGCTAAGAGAGAAATGGAGATAACGGTGCTGGGTTTGATTATTTTAATGGTTTAAAGGTGGGAGGAAAGAGATGATAGTGTTAGACAGTTTGGAGTGGTGTGAGGTCAATGGAAGAAAAAGGAAAAAGGAAGAATGTTTGCTTTCTGGAGGCTAACAGAAACTTAAATATGGTTTGGGTAATGTATAATTCACTCCTTTTTATTGTCAAAGAATGAAAAATTAAATAATTTTTCATTCTAATGACTAAATGAAAACACTTAAATTAATTTTTTTATCTAAAAGATATATTTCACATATGATACTTATCTAATAATAGAATGAGAGCAAAATAAGAATTAAACCATATGGGTCAAGTAGAAATAGAAAAGGGGGACATATGAAAATATTATATTTCCCAATGTTGTAGCCATTCTTGTTATTGTTTAACAGGTCTCCTAGTTTTCCTTTTTGTCTTAGTATTTTTTTTTCTCTTGAGAATTTCAAGTCCTCTAAGTTGTTGAGAATGCTTATGCTTTGTGCTGTTTGTACTTGGTTAGCTTTTGGATTCTCTCTGATTTTCTTCTAAAACTAATTATGCCTGGGTATGGTGTAAAGATGGAAGAGGATATGTATACATCGATAACTAGTTTATGATCTTTTGCAACTTGTACCTCTTAGTGAATTATGTTCTTCTGACTCAGGACTAGTTCCATTGGCTGCTTTTGGATGGGTCATGGCAACACATTTGTCTCTTTATCCTGCAGTTCTCATAATTCCAGTATGCACCACTTCCAGTTTTAATCGACTTAGTATTTGGAAATAGTAAGTTTTTTGATGGACTGTAATAAATTGCGAATTTTGTACCAGGTGATTATTTTGTTGGGATATGGTCCAGATGGTCCTCCTAGAAAGTTGTTCCTGCAGAGACAAGGTAAAAATGGAGATAATCCGTCAACTGAGGTCTGTGATCAGCAACACAGATTGTTAAACCAAACAAATCTACCTGTTATTTTCTCATGGAGACCAGTCATGCATTTTATACTCTGGGCCTCAGCATGGTCAGCATATGTGCTGGTGCTATGTGACATATCTTTGCAGCAGTATGGAGGTCTGGCAGAGATGTTCAAAAGGTATGTTTTTCAATATTATGTCTTACTCCAAATTCAATCTGCATTAGGATATGCTGAACATTGATAAGGAACTCAATGATATCTCTGCTAGATTTTAAGTTTTATGTATTGCTACCGACATGCAAGCTTATCTTTCTTTTAGCTATGCAAAAGCCGTGCAAGGCAGCACTTGAAATTCAACCTTCAAGTAAGGTGAGACTGTAGACAACCAACTCCAGGGGAGTGGCAGGGTTTCTAGTGGATACTTTTGCACCAAATAATTTTTTTTTTTTACGACACAAGCCGATCAATTGTAGCAAATGCATCCATGTAGCTGACTCCAACTAGTGGCTGGAGGCAGGTTGAATCATGATGGGCGTCAACCCATTAAATAAAATAAGAAATTTCTGCAAATATGTATTCATGTCCATTAGTGCGTTGGCTGTCACCCTCCTATGATATCAATCCCAATCCCAAGTGCAAAATGGCCATGGAGAGGTGAAATTGTGACATAAGGTTGGAAGCACATGAATACAAGTTAATGTGGATCTTACATTTGTGGCATCTTTTCATGGTGGCAATTGTTCTTCGCTGTAATTCATTAAATGTCTCATGATCTTCTGGCTACCGTTCTCCCATTTATGTGAGGATCACAAATGCATTATGGGCATCTTCCTGAATATTTTATCTTTTTTCGTCTAATGCACTTAAAAAGTTGAATCCCATTGTAGGAGTGTTAGTAGAAGTGTAGTAAAGGCAGAAAGAGAGTTTTCTTTACCTTCCAGTTAGGAAAGTCTTGACCAAAACAAGGTTAGGTTGCTGTGCTTCCTTTTATCATGTTGAGGCAGTCAAGAAGGTTAGGTTCCTCAAGGACCGGTTCTCGAGGATATTCAGCATTGCTCAATCCAGGAATATACTGATCGAAGATGCGTACCGGATGGGTAATGGTAACATTGGATGGTCCATCAATGTGGTTAGGAGCTTAAATGGCTGGGAAATCAGAGAATATGAGGACATGCTCATGATTTTATCATCACAGCAGATTAGGCCTTCGCCTTATAAGTTTGTTTGGATTTTGGAGAAGAAAGAGGGTTTCACTGTCAGCTCTTATTATAGATTCCTGATGGAAGGCACTGCAGGTGGTTTTCTGAATTTCCTTCACCAACAAATCTGGAAAACAAAGGCCCCTCCGCGGGTTGCTTTCTTTGCAAGGGAAGCATGTTGGGAGAAGATATTTACCATTGATAAACTGAAAAGAAGAGGCCAGATTCTAGTCAATGGGTGTTATCTCTGTTTCAAGGCTGAGGAGTTCTGCTATCACATACTGCTTTGGTGTCCTATTGCATATAGTTTATGGTGCACAATTTAGGGCCTTCTAGGGATCAATTAGGTGATGGCGGGTTTGGTTAAAGAGGAAATTTGGGGTTGAGAAGGTTTATGTATAGAAAGAAACTTTGCTAACCTTATTCCTTCGACTTTTTTTGGGTTCTTTGGAAAGATAGGAATGTTACAGCCTTTGAGGGCCAAGTTTGTGGGCTGTACAATTTAAGGGATAGATGGTTGTATTATCTTGAGACCATTTTATTGGGACATTGGGAATGTCATTGATATACTAACTCTTATGTAAATCTTTTGTAAATGGGTGGTACTCTGTTTTGATACCTTGTTAATATAAATATTTCATACTTTTTATTTAAAAAAAAAATCATGTTGAGGCAGTCCATGAAGCTGCAAATCTTTCTTCCATCAGCAAAGGCTTGGGATATGTGGTTGAAGGAGGCAGTCAATGGAGCAGGGCTTGTTCCAGGCATAAGGTAAGGTTCTCTAGTACCTAATACTCCTCATTGAATCAACCTTACCGGGGGAGAAGTCGTGATGAAGTGAAGCATTAGGCGGATAGACTTAATTCTGCAAGTATACCTGATCTATACAATGAAACGCAGTGCCATCCTTCTTCTGTTTATTTTCTGGTGCATGTTCAGGATATGATCAGCTTTCAGTGTATTCCCTCGTGCCAGTAACCTTGGTTTACCTTCAGGGTGCCCTTTCAATGCTGTAAATATCACTGTTGAACATGGCAGGAATAAGTCTTATTATAAGTTCATTAATATTTGTGAAAATGGTTCAGAGGGGTTTGGGTGGGGAGAAGTAATCAGCACATTGAAGTCTCTCATTTATTTTTGCCAATGACACCCTTATTTTTTGCCATCTGGAAGAGAAGGTGATCTTGGATAATAATTTAAATAAATCTAAGATGGTCGGCTTTGGGAATCTGGAGAATGATGTTTATTTAGCGGATTTGTTAGGGTGTAAGATGGTAAAACTTTCTATAAAATATTTGGGCCTCCTACTTGGTTCCAAATATAAGGGTTTAGTGACTTAAGGTCCGGTAATTGAGACCTTTGAGAAGAGACTTACTAATTGGAAAAGGAATTTCTGATCCAAAGGTGGTAGATTCTCACTTATCAAAAGCATCTTCTTTAACCTTTCTATTTACTACTTGTCTATTATTACGATCCCGGTAAAGGTTGCTAAAACATTAGAAAGAATTCAACGTCGTTTCCTTTGGTGAGATGAAGAGGGTAGAAGAAAGTTTCATTTGGTGAAGTGGGGAGGAGGTGAAGAAACCAGTGAAGCATG